ATTAAAGCTAAAAAACAGAAGAAAGTTCTTGAAGCTATTCACAACATTTTCCAAATTGAAAGGATTGATGATAAACTGTTCATTAAAGTGAGTATCTTTGTCTTATGATTATATAACTTTTATTTTCTGATCTTTATACTATTCACTCAGTTTAATAGTGGAATGAAAGAAGATATACATTTTGCATTAAATGATTCACTTCGTTAACAACTTCTAGGTTGGTGGGTGCGGAATGATGTGGCATCGGTTGTTAATCATAACAAATTTAGACTTGACATAGGGGAATAGAATACGCAACCAACATGCCAGCAAAGGATTGCACCTATTATTAATTCATCTCCACCTCTTTTATTATGGATCGAGGTAACAATTGTTTTTAGAAATGTGTTTTTTAACGATCTTTTTAATTTGTTGAATATTACAGGTGGCATTCAACAAGACTAATGATCGTGATAACGTATTAAATAAGATTTCATATGTTTAACCATATTGTCTAAACACCGAATTTGTATTGATTTCTATTCCTTTTGGAATGTTACCCTTTCAAACAAATCCAAATCCTGGCATTGACTCAGTTGTAACTATGGCACCAAGGGCAAATCGTCCCTCAAGAGTACTCTATCTTGGTCATTGGACCGTAGGCATGGGTTTTAATGCAGTGCAATGGTACAAAATGCAATAGAACGAATATATTATTTTTGGTTGTGGGGCGTGCATCTATTTTAATGATGTCTTACCTGTTTGTTATAAATATTTGATATTTTATTTCAATATTAATTAGTTTAGATATCTTATTGTATAACCACCATGCTCAATATGAAATTTATGTTGCTATTAGCAAAAAAGAAAATTGGATTATGAAATTCAGAAATAAAATTTATATCGCTGAAAACAATTAAAGCCCAATTCAGGTGAAATTTCATTTCTATTTTTTGATATCGAAACTACATAAAAAATTGATAGAACCTGATCCAGTATACAGTAAATAAATATCTAACTACTGCATCATGTAGCATTTAAAAAAATAATTCATCATAACTAGCAAATAATAGAAATTTGGTTACCTATAGCGGATTTGAATAAATTAATATCTAATCTTGGACGTATCAAAAACAATAAAGGTGTGGTTTTAAAAGGAAATGTTTGCAAAAGAAGTGGTTATATACGGATTGACTTAAGCATTAATAGTATTTATACATCAACTGGCGTCCATATCTTAGTTGCACAAGCCTTCATCTCTAACCCAGAAAATAAGCTTTACGTTAACCACATTAACAGCATCAAACATGATAATCGGGCTGTTAATTTAGAATGGGTAACTTCTAAGGAGAATGCAGAACATAAAATATTTTTGAATCGTGGTCATAGTAGTTCTAGGCGTATCGTGCAAGAAATATTAGATGGAAATGTTATTTGGATTTGGAATTCTATTCACCTTGCTGGTAATACTCTTAAAGTTCTTGAAAATAAAATTTCAGAATGTTGTAACAGAAAACAAGATACTGCTGGCGGTTGGTGCTGGACATATTATGAAAATTACATAGAACCAGATTCCAATGAAGAATAGAAAGAAATAGAGATTGATTCGCGAAAGTTTAGAGTTTCATCCTTAGCAGAATTCAGCTTCCAAATGGCGTAATCACCCAGGGATCTTTGTATGCTAGCTATTATCGAATTGGTCATATTCACAAATATCGTGTTCATCATTTGGTGGCTTTAGCATTCTGTTCAAAAGAAGAAGGCAAAGAAAAAAGCAATGGGGATAGTATATAATGAAGTCAAACAACTTCTTCCAGAAATTACAGATGTAAACTTATGCCA